TTAGGATGTAATTGTGCCCCTGACAGCATCACCTTTGCAGAGCACAGAGAGGTTATGTACCAGGTCCAGAGGTTCTGTGTCTGGTGTGGAGTAGAGCTGCCTCCCTCCCCTCGGTGCATCCCTGGGGAAGAGGGAGAGGATGGGTGCTGAAGCAGTGGAATCCCCCCCATAACATATTCCTCTTGGCCGCATAGAGGGCAGAGCCCCCTTGAAACCTCTCATGCCTGCATAGCTATGGCAGATTATGCCATTAGCCAGCCCAGACATGCTCCAGGAGCCCTAAGGGTTTCCTCCCAGTCCATGTAGCCCAGCTGATGCTTTTGGCACACCTACAAAAACATTTGGTTTTTAAGTAGCCCTTTGCGCTTAAGCACAAAGCCTTACAGCCAGGTCATAGCAGTAATCCTCTCTCAACAGCAGCGATGCTGAGCAGAGAGAGCCCACACAGCCCCAGATAGCTACAAATCCAAGGAGCAGCATCAGCAACACACAGGAGTTCAAACCTGTCCCACTTGGGTCTCTGCCCAGCCCAGCACACTGCCAGCTCCCACTGGGCACCGAGTGGTCATATCTGAGCTAGTCAATGACACTGTGTTTTTATTTACTGCTGGCTTATTCCTCCACCCCCAAACATATTACTCCTTCCATTCCTGGAGAGACAGATTAGGCAAAGGAATGTGTCCTTTGCTGCTGGCAACTTGGCTTGGCTGCCGTTTTCTTCTACTGATGTTTTTAATAAGGGAGGTAATGGCTGTTCATCTCGGGGAAAGCCAGTCTGTTATAAGCTGACATTCCCTGGGATTTGTTTTTACTAGCTCAGCTCTGGTGTACAGGCGCTGCCAGAGCTGCTCATTGATTTTCCCAGCCTGGATAATATCTAGGCCGCCCCACTCACTCTGCTGTGGTTGCTACCAGGGCTCCCGTAACTCCTCCTGAACAGGTTTCCATCAGCGCTTTCCTCCTGCTGCTCTTGGCCCCACCAAAGCAAAAGCAGGGCTTTATTCCAAAGCCAGGGAGATCTTCTTTCCCTGGGCTTTGGGTCAGGCTCATGCCTAAATCATAAATGAAAAATGTACTTATTATAGAAACCCTTTCACTGAAGTGGATTATTTTATTTCTTTCAATTACTCAATAAATTGTTCCTGTGCTGAAAATAATCGGTGTGTCAGCTTACCTGTAAAGCTACCTGTAAAGCTTAGTGGTAACAAAACTCAGTGGCTTGCATGCTGGGCCAGGTAACACCAGTCTTGACAGCCACAGTGCTTTGGGCAAGGACGTATTTAATTGATGCCATCAGGAAATTGTCCCTTGGACTGGTGTCTGGTATCTCCCACAGGCTCTTCTGGTTGCTCGGATCTCTGGGGAGATTATTGAGAACCAAGTGTTGACTGTTATCAATATACTAGTGGTCTCATATGTATTTTGCGTTCCCTAGGGCTTGCGGGGTGCTGGAAGGATATCATTAGTATGTGTGTCAAAGCTATTTTATTCTCAGTTCAGGGAGTGCTTGCACAGTCCTGGGCAGGTTAAAGAGAAGATTTGCTCCTCTTGTGTGTTTCTCCAGGCTCAGAGCCTGCAGCCCAGCTACAAAATCTTGGGGTGCTATTTATCATACTTAACCCTGGAATGCCATATTCTAACTGTGTAAACCAGGTACGTTGCTCCCTTATTTGTCACACCAGTGATCAGGTGATGGCACAGATAATCTCATGGCATTGAGGAGTGATTACCATGATTCCTCCTTTTCCCATGTTATTCTGATTTGTGGCCTGCGTCAGCACAGTATTTTACAAGTTTGTCTCCAGCAAAAGGCAAATTCCATTTTGTTGGACTTGTGGGTATAACAGCTCTGGATGTGCCTGTCCTGGGGTCAGTTGGCACTGCCAAGGGAAGGATGCTGGTGCTCACAAACTCCTCCCTGACCCATCAGCTCTGCCTCGGCACCTGAAGTTGGACATCCCAAACAGGACAAAGCGCACCCAGCCTTTGAAATCCAGCTCACTTCTTCTCATGGACTTGACTAGAAAAGCTGCAAGTGCATATTTTTTCCCCTGAGGTGTTTTTACATTGCTCTTGTTTCCAGTTTATTGTTATTACTCCTTTTTGTTTGTTCTTTTGCGAGTTTGTTGAGTTTGGGGGGGGGGGTGTAATTACGGAGAAGTTGTTTTTATGGTTGTTTTCCAGCACTCCAGGGATGGATGTTATGTACATAAAATTGGTATTATCATTACAATTAATATTAAAAAGAAGAATAGTAAGAGTGATAATAATACAGCAATGAAGTCTGTGTTTCTTGCTAAGCATGGTGAGGTTTGTGGGCAAGCAGCCTTCCCTGAGGAAGACCATGAACCTGGATGGCAGGATCCCTCTCCAGGAGTAAAAACACCCCTAATTCCTGCATTGTGTCCTGAAGTCAGCGGAGTTATGGTTTCATGATAAAGGTACAGGAACTGAGACCTATGAGATTGATCTCATGTAGGTGAAGAAGTCCTCAGAGAGCCTTCCCCGTGCCAGGCTGGAATGACACTGGGATAAAGCAACACACAGCTAATAGGAAAGCGACGTGTGCTTCGTCTTCTCAGTTTTCTAGGTGCTGCTGGAAGAGCTGGCTGGAATAGGCATTTCTGTCATGATCTGCAGTAAGCATGCACTAATTTCTTGCCTCACTGTTGGACATGCAACTCGTAGTTTCTTGGATACTGGAAGTACTCAGGAAGAGCTGCAAGAGCATTTGGGAAAAGGAGCCCCTCATCTCTCCGCCTCCAAGTCTCCCTGGAGAGAAAACTTCCAGAATGGAAGAGAGGTGGAGAGGAAAGTTGCTCTCTATCTTTCATTATCATTTGATGCCCACCACTCATGCTGAGATAACCAAAGAGCTGAAAGGTTTTAGTTGTTTCTCACGGGTGCTAACATAGCAGAGTGTATAGCAGGAAGGGCCAGACATTTGATGTGGCTGTGCCATTGGCAAGCAGGCAAAGAAAATGGGTAAATTAAGCACCTTTTCCCTCCATCTGTCATAAGCTTTTATCCCACGGGGAGGAAAATGTTTCCAGTTTGTCCTGGCTTTTTGAAGTGTGACACTGTTGTATTTGCAAGCCTACATAATGCCTAAGTCATCAAAATGCCAGAAGTGGAGGGGAATGTGAATACCACTTACAATACAGCCTGGTGGACCACAAAGCTGAGTTTCAAGCCTCTCTGGTCTTTTTGAAAAGCCTCCAGAGATTTCCAGCCAATCTTTCCCTCAGCTCATTCACTGTAACCACTTAGCTCTGAGCAGCCATCTCATGACTCACCATGTATTTCTTGTTTCTTATTTATATTATACTAAGTAGTGATATCTCTAATTTCACCACATCTGGTGGAAACCTGGGGAGTTATGGGCAAGTTTTACAGCCTGAATAAGGTGTTAGGATGCCTTCAGTGTCAGGGTCCCAGCAGCCTCCCCGCTTTCTGGGAGGGATGTGCAGTCTAAGCCCAGTCGGAAACCAGTGATGTTTTAGGAGGTTTTAAAGAGGTGGATGTTGGTCTCCTCTCATAAGTTACAATGGATAGGACAAGAGGAAATGACCTCATATTATGCCAGAGGAGGTTTAGGTTAGACATTAAGAAAAACTTCTGCACTGAAAGGATTATCAAAGACTGAAACAGTCTGGCAAGGGAAGTGGTTTAATTGCCATCCTTGGATGTATTTAAGAGCCATTTAGATGTGGTGCTCAGGGACATGGTTTAGAAGGGGACCTGATAGAGTTAGATAGTGGTTGGACTTGATGATCTTAAAGGTCTTTTCCATCCAAAACTGTTCTACAATTCTATGATTCTATGATCAGCGGAGCCAAGGCATGCCTGTGCTGCTCTTTGCAAAACTTTGTTACTGGGTTGCCTAACTTTGCCACTGCAAGGGGCTGTGTTTGCATGGCTTTGGGGTAAAACCATATTACAGGTTCGTCACAGGGAATCATTCACAGGTTGTCTTAAAATTATTATTCTGTTAAAATTTAAAAGCAAATTTGTGTTAAAAGGTTTGTCTCTCTTTTTTTCTGACTAGCATTCTGTGGATCAGTTTGGTTTCTCAGGAGTTTTAAAATGCAGCTCCAAGGTTTGAAAAAGAAAAAAGAGACTTTCTTTCTCCTTTCTAGTGAAGTAAAAAAAAAAAAAAACCAACAAAGCTTTTAACAGAATTTCATAGAAGGGCCCAAACTGGAAGGGACCTTAGAGATCATTTTAATCCAGCCTCCCTGCCGCCAGGGACGCCACCTCTCGACTAGATCAGGCAACACATGGGGACCGAATGGGAATCGAACCCATGACCTTGGTGTTGTTAGCGCCACGCTCAACTGACTGAGCTAACCGGCCCGCTTTTAAGTGATCTCTTTCTGTCCTAAGCCTCCAAGCTCATGCATCTCCTTGAAAATTTAAAGAAAGGGGTTTTTTCACTTTTTGGTAAACAGTTGTAATAGACTTGTGGTTGTAATCTCCGTGATGTTGTTAGCATGAAACTTTTTTATGCTCGAATCACAGTATTCAATAGTTCTTTATGCTGTATGTTGGCTCCTTTGCCGTGTTTGCGAAAGATGGAACTGCACGCAAGACTAGCTATGACGTCTCTGTATTTTCAACATCATAAAATCATAGAATGGCCTAGGCTGGAAGGGACCTTAGAGATCATTTAGTCCAACCTCCCTGTCATGGGCAGGGACGCCTCTCAACTAGATCAGGCAACACATCGTTATTTCTAGGATATTTGGGGGTCTGAGTCTGTTGAAGGCCCCTGCAACTTGCCAGACACTTGAGAGTCTATGTTTCAGGTTGCGGCTTTTGTGATGCAGGATGCAAATCTAAGTCCACATAATCTTTTTGCTACTGTTTCCTTGTGCCAATGCTTGGTGAGTGGGTACAAATATTTGGAGAAGGGGCTCACACAACCTCCTTCTGTGTCTGGGATGGATTAGAAGTCATGCAGCATGCAACTGATGGGTTTATTTTTGTTTTATCTCCAGCACAGTGATGCAGTCCATGATCTTCTCCTGGACTTTATCACATGGGTTGGCATCCTGCTCTCACTGGTCTGCCTCCTCATCTGCATCTTCACCTTCTGCTTCTTCCGTGGGCTGCAGAGTGACCGCAACACAATTCACAAGAACTTGTGCATCAGCCTCTTTGTGGCAGAACTCCTCTTCCTCATCGGTATCAACCGGACTGACCAGCCGGTAAGATCCAAAGCACTTTCTGCTCCCACCACAGGCTCTCATCTCGGTGCATATGGGATGTCTCACCATGCAGTGAAATATATTACAACGATGCCTTAATTCCATGCATGAGTCTTACACCTTTGGACCCCTGGTTGTTAACTGGGAGTCAAACACTGATGCCTGCTGTGATTTCAGAGGCTATATGTGCATTGTTCATAAATAATGTGTTTTTCTATGTGCAATAAGCAAGTTGTAAAAATGCACTTATACTATGTATATCTTTATGTGTTTATTTGCCAGATCGTGTACATACCTACCATTTATATATGTAGATATGTATCTGTTTTAAAAAAGTTCACGCACATTTTCCAAGTGAAAAAAAAAATGCTTCCTTTGGAGAAAGGAAGATTAGAACTCCTTCACTCTTATTACATCTCCCAGTAAGAGTAATCCTGACTGTTGCATTAATTCAGCATGGTACAAACACCTTCCCTTGCTCTTTTCAATCCGCACGCAGATTGCCTGTGCCGTCTTTGCTGCCCTCCTGCACTTCTTCTTCCTGGCAGCTTTCACCTGGATGTTCCTGGAGGGAGTGCAGCTCTACATCATGCTGGTGGAGGTTTTCGAGAGCGAACACTCCCGGAGGAAGTACTTCTATTTGGTCGGCTATGGCATGCCTGCGCTAATTGTGGCCGTATCAGCAGCGGTGGACTACCGGAGCTATGGCACAGACAAAGTGTGAGTGGGGCTTGACATTGTTTGGTCCTGGTCGGGAGGGATGGGAGCGGGAATGACCAAGGGAAGTAAAGAATGCAGAGACGTGGCAGACAAAGGAGGCTTGTGCAGGCAGAGCTCAGCCAGGAGTCATGCCTTGCCATATGGGTTGGAAGGGACCTTAAAGATCATCCAGTTCCAATCCCTCTGCCATGGGCAGAAACACCTTCCGTTAGACCAGGTTGCTAGTGTAAGGTCTCTCTGTATTTCCAACACAGGCTGCGATCATATATGACACATTTCTCACTATGAAATGATTTGCAAAGGTATTTTCTTGTGGAAGTCAGGAAAAATTTTATCAGCAGGGGTGGCTACCCAGTCTCAGCTTAGTACTGTGTCAGCTTGGTACTGTGTCAGCAAGGTCATCCTTCTCTGACCCAAGAGTATTTAGCATTTGGATGATGAACACTGCTTTCTTCTTCCTCTTTGTTCAAATGTTCTCTCAAATTAACAGAGCCTGCAAGCAAAGTAGGCGGTGACTCTGGAGTGCATTAGACAATTTGCAAATCGGAACAGCTACATCGTTTATCATTACGAATATTTTTAAATGTTTGCAACATTGCTGAAGCTGATATCAAAGCACAATTTAGATGATCATGCAACACCGTCTAATGGAAAACAAAGGGAAAGTCGAGCCTTTGATTTTCTTTGCTAGCTTTGTTGCAATAGCACTAACAATGTGGTTTTATTGATTTTTTTTATTATTGTTATTTCCCTTCTCAGGCTGCCTTTCGCCTGTCATTTTAACTGAGAAAAGGGCTCAGTCTGAAGGCATACATAGCAATGAGCTGATGGCGTTTTCAAAGCTCTTCTTAGCATAGGTCAGATCAGGCTATGGCAGCAGCTGGTATTCCGTTAAATTCAACTGCAACATTTTTTCCTGAAACCTTATTGATATATGTGAACCTGATTCCTTGCAGAAGCAAATCTGCAGAGCAGTGGAGCTGCTCATGATCCATTACTGTGCCAGCAGGTAGGCTTGGATCCCAGCTGGATATTTGCGTCGTGTTCCTTCCATGAGTAGGAGAAAAGCAACCTGGATTTGTATAAATGTCATACTTTGCGGGAAGGAAATGGCCCACACAGATAAAGATAGGAGGGAGTAAGTTTTCAAGGATCTCTACCAATTTATCCACAGTAGTTTGACTGACTTTGGCAGGCCTAGGGGGCAAAGAAAAAGTAACGCAACAGCTGATTACAGTTTCTGGAGAAGACTATTTCCATCAGCTGCCGTCTGCTTTCTGCCCCAACCAGCTCTTATAGAATCATAGAATCGTATCAGCTGGAAGAGACCTAGAAGATCATTGAGTCCAGCCTTTGTCCCAGCCCTATCAATGTACTAAATTATTCCCCCCAACGCAACATCCACCCATCTCTTAAACACCTCCGGGGATGGTGACTCAACCACCTCCCTGGGCAGCCTGTTCCAATGGCTGACAACCCTTTCAGTATAGAAATTCTTCCTAATATCCAACCTGAACCTCCCCTGGTGCAATTTAAATCCATTTCCCCTCATCCTATCACTCTCCACTAGGGAGAACAGACCAACACCCGCCTCTCTACAACCTCCCTTCAGGTAGTTGTAGAGAGCGATGAGGTCTCCCCTCAATCTCCTCTTCTTCAGGTTAAACAGCCCCAGATCCCTCAGCCTTTCCTCATACGACTTGTGTTTTAAGCCCTTTACCAGCTTAGTAGCCCCGCTCTGTACCCTCTCCAGCACCTCAATGTCCCCCTTGTAGTGAGGGGCCCAAAACTGGACACAGTACTCAAGGAGGGGTCTCACCAAAGCTGAGTACAGGGGCATGATCACCTCCCTGCTCCTGCTGACAACACCATTCCTGATAGAGGCCAGGATGCCGTTGGCCTTCTTGGCCACCTGGGCACAAGTGTTCACATCCTCTCTTGCGTGATACATAAGCCCCCACTGAATCAGATATTGAACTTCTCTCTCAGATATTGGACTTCTCTCTCAACATTTTGGGCTGCCTACTGAGAAAACCCAGCCTTGCAGCTTGTTTGCAATAAAAGCTAGCACCAACTGCGTTCTCTTACAGTGCTGGGTAAGTGCTGGGTGTTGAAAATGCCTCACTTCATTCCCTCATAGTAAAAGGATCTCCCCAAGACCAGGGTGTCTCTTTGGACGTGAGACAGCTGTTGATTTGCATCCACCTTCATCTTTGCAGAGTCCCTTCTGATGCTCTGTAGGGACAACCCACGTACCAGTGTAGGTTGTGGGAGATATCAGCAGGCTGGCTATAGCGTGAGAACATATGGCACCTAACCACAGCTCCCATAACGCACCATGGCAGCTTTGTATTGCCAAAATGTTTCAGCTCCTAGTATATGAATATGTGGACCTTTCTGAAGCACAGCAAAATAAACACATTCCATGGGATACGTTGCCTTTTCCCAACAGGCCATGGGTGCCCGAATGTTTCCATGGTGTGGCAGGTACAGGCAGAAAGTTTGGCTGAAATTTGCTGGAGGCAAACAACAAAACTCTGCTGTATTTGTGTTGAGGAGGCAGCAGTCCTGTGTCTGTGCCAGTAAAATTTCTCTGCCTCCCCACAGGATAAAGTAGTATTTTTAATGATTGAACATGTATATATAATATTTTGCAAATAAATATTTACAGAGATTTGCAGAGCCTAAAATATTTATTTATAATCTCTAATTCCAGAGTGCACAATTTTATCACGTTCTCGTAGTGGAAAATAAAAAACATACAATATGTTTTGTATAACTATCATGCTCCATCTGGTTGATGGATGATGATGTATTTTTCTGTGTAATGTTATTAGAAGGGTAGAACTGATTAGAATTTGTAGTGAACTATATGCCAGGCATACATAATTTGATTGCAAGAAGTTGCTTGGTTTTGCCGGGTTTTGTAAAACATCCTCTGGAATATATTACTTGCCTCCCTCCATTATTTATTGCATTTATTTAAGCAGGACTTATGGAGCTGTTAGTGTTATTTGTTTCTTGCCTGGCATTTGGTGCCACCATTCATACATCTCAGAATGATTTGCTTAGACACCGAATGTAGGTTTTCTTGATTTCATTTTCCTTTCTAAATCCAAGCCTCCTGGAACACATGCCCAGATTACATAGCCGGGAACAGGCAGTTGTTCCTCTCTGCTTCTTTGCTCATCATTTGGTGCTTGTGATTTTCTGAATCATCCCATGTCCTAGTATTCATATTGACATTTTGCAGTAGGTCCCTAGTAAAGTAC